AAAAAAAAAGTTAAGTGAGCATCAAACCATTGCTACAAACGTTTGTGGCTTTTGCTGTTTGATGTGGCGGTCCAAAATGGCTCTTAGAGCCAGATCTTTGACGTGGACGACGCAAGCCGGCTCCTTATCGTGAGCTGTGTTTTTTTTTTTCTTTCTCTCTCTCTCTCTCTCTCGCACTTTTTTCCGCTTCACTCCGCACGCGAGCCTTGTGCTTTACGCTGGGAAGAGGGGGGAGGGGCGGTAGTTACACCCGCAGTAGCACAGGAACAGAGCCAGAGAGAAAAAAAGCAAAGGGCAACAACGTCGCATTAGAAAGGTATAGTAAAAACCATTATTTTCAGTTGCAGATGATAAAGGATTCACATATCATGCAAGCCCATATGACAGAGAATGTGCATCTTCTTTTGTTTTCATATTTTAATTTATATTTAATGGTGTTGTGGTTTGCAGCATTTTGTGTTGTTTCACTTTAAATTAGTTTAAAAGGAAAAAGCTGAACATTTAATTAGTTAAAAGTTGAACTGTGAATAGTTGGTTTTTGTATTATATGATTTATTTATTTTAATGTGGAGTGAATAAATAAAAGTATATTTACGGTGGCCCCTAGAGACAAAGTATGTACAAACTCCAAAACACGTGCAAATCACAACAGAAGTGCTCCAGGATGCTAGGGGCAGTGTTGAGCTTTTGTTACCTAGTGGCTACACAAGCCAGGAAGTACCAACGACCCGATTTGGTGTGTGGTAGTAACAGGTAAATGAACATTTTCTTTTTAAAATTATTTGAATATATACAGTGCTTGTGTATAAATACACAAACAATACACACATGCTTTCAATTGTGTAATTTGAGTGATCTGGGTAGCTCTGTTTTGGAAGTTCAGTTAACGCTAGAAATGTGTTTTGGAGTTTGTACGTGCTTTGTCTCAAGAGGCCACCATAAATATTTATATATAAACATATATAAATAAAACCACTTTTTTTTTACATTGTTCCTATTGTGCATAATTTTATATTATTGTTAATAAGAAATTAATTAAAGCAACAAAAAAACCAGAAGAGCCGGTTCGGAGCCGGTTCGGAGCCGAAAGAGCCGGCTCTCTAAAAAGAGCTGGAAATCCCATCACTAGACTGCGGTTATCTCTAAGTTGTTCTTTATATAGTTCAGTCTACTTTCAGTGCTTATTTCCTCTGCTAAATGTTTCACGCTTCAACAGATTGGAATCAAACCCAGCATTTACATGTGAAGACTGACTGATCTAATTTGTTTATTGCTGTTTGTCTGTTTCCAAAGAAAGTTTACCTTTTTTTTTTTTTTACTATTTTGATGTTTTGTTTATAGGGGTGGAAGGAAACACACACATTTTGGTATAGATCATTTTCAATATTAAAATGATGTAGTAGCAGTTGGATGTGTAAGTGTAAGCATCAAAAAGATACAGTGGAGCAGGTTTAACTATGCCTTTCTTTAGCAAAGAAAAAACAAACAGTCATAACAATACACAATATTTTATAATACACATATTTATCTTTAGTTGCACGGTCTTATCTGATTGTCTGTTTCTGAAAATATTTTTCTTTTTTGCTTATTTATTTGTTTTTTAAATTTGTTTATTAATCAAGGTCTGCATTTGCTGATGTGGCTGTTTAGGATTTTTGTTTTTGCTATACTTTTTGTTTTGTACTGTAAATGCAGAAAAGTAGTGTTCACATATTTTATATACTAATTTGAAACTAATGTACTCATCAAATAACTTTGACACAAGTCACAGAGCATTTGGATGTCCCCCTCTACAATTCAGTAAAGTGAGTAATAGTTGTATGCTATCTCATGCTAAAACAAAATGATCACAAGCTGAACAGGGAACGGAGCAACAAATTGCAAAGAGGGCTTCCCGAGATAAAGATAAACCTGGTATCATTCAAACCACCAACATGTCAGTCCATGTGTGCCATATGTCCTTTCCAGGAACTTAACATTACAATCTGCTGTCAATAAATCTCACATTTCAGTGAAACTGAAGCAAAGACATTGTGGCAGTGCAAGGCGAGGAAAAGGGTGAGGTGAGGCAAAAAGAGAAAAGGGAACAAATGATGATGTTACAAACACAAAGGCAGTGGTGTGGTGATTGGGAGTCTGAAAGCTTCACAATTATAGAGTTGTGAAGTTGAACAACCCAACAACGTCACACTGATAATTTGAAACAGATAATCTGTAGTTTAACACTATGGTAATTACCAAGAAGGCACTCAGGTTGGTTATACAGAGATGTGGTTCAGAGTATAAAGTAAAAAATGTAATGCTTAAGTGAGGAACCCAGATTCAGCCACTTCTTGCAGAAGTCTTTTCTGCAGCTTTCAAGAAAAACCATCAGCTTAGCTTCATCATGACAGCTGGCTGTAGGCGGATTCTAGGTTTGGTCTTGGCTATCATCGGTTTTCTGGGGAGCATCATCACCTGTGCGGAGAGTTGGGTCAGAGTTGTGTTACATCAAGTGCAGCAGATATTCATATGAATTTTAGGTGATGATGCTGAGATCCATTCACTGAATTCCACCTTCATACCAACTTTAGAGTGTCCAATATAAAGACAGTATAAACAGTGTACTCTCGGTGTAGAGGATGGAAATCAACCATGACATATATACCTGTTTACACTGAACATATACTCACATATGTACTATGTCACCATATGTACTCGTATACACTGTATACATACCTACGCTTGGATGTTTAGACCCACACTTTTAGATCAAATATTATTCGCATGTATATTAATGAAGTTTGTGCCACTTGTTGAATGAGCATATGTGATCAATACTGTCTGAAGTGTAGTGATTAGGAACAAAAAGTAACCTTTGATTGTATTATGGCCAGTGGTAACTAGTCCAAACAAAGAGTTAAATAAACTTGGTCCCACTAAGCTGCACCTGGGAGCCTATCCGCTGCCAGAAGGTGGTGAACCACCCATCTCTAACCCATGAAGTAAAGAAATTTTGACCACCTGAGAGTGCACCGGGGACACTTTTTGCCTGTCTCCAGTTGCCAAAGTTGTGAAAAACCCTTCTTTAACAGATATAGTAGCCCACCCCTGGCAGCAAACCTGACAAAGCTGTCAGGAGGATTCATTTTTTTCTGTCTGCAGTATGTTTGATATCTGACTTTTGCCCTTAAAACTGTCAAAAGGACCCAATTAAAATGATTGATGTTGGGAACAGAGCTCAGAGAGTTATGGAGTAATGCCAGAAAGTTATCTAACGCAAGGGGATGCATCCATTGCACTTTTGAATGTGTGTGACTGTTAGAAAGCACGTAAGAACAGAAAAAAGTGCTTGTGTGAATGAGTGAAAGAGGCATGTTGTCTGAAGCGCTTTGAGTGCTCTGGGAAAGTAGAAAAGAAGAATCAGTCCATTTACCATTTCACAGATTTCTTGAAAAGTCTGTGTGGGTCATCCAATAAATAACTCCATATCTTTTTCAAATGATTGATTGATTGATTTTTTTAAATCTGCTAATATCTAACATACAGATTTTCTGTATGAAATGTTCTTTTGGGGAGTGATTGGTCTTTATATGTAACTTTGCATGCATCAGTGAAGACGCAGTCAACTTCTCCTTTAATTATTACAAACACCTAAAAACCACTTCCTGCCTGACTTTCATGCAGATAAATTACTGCAGCTCTCAAGAACACACCATCTTTCCTCTTTGAAGAGATCAGCAGATCTCATCACGATGGCTGACTGTAAGCTTCTGGGTTTGGTCTTGGCTATCATCTGCTTTTTGGGGAGCATCATCACTTGTGTGCTCCCCATGTGGAGAGTGACAGCCTTCATTGGTACCAACATCGTCACAGCTCAAGCAATCCATGAGGGCTTGTGGATGAGCTGTGTGGTCCAGAGTACGAGCCAGAAGCAGTGTAAGGTCTATGATTCGGAGTTGGCCTTATCTCAAGATTTGCAGGCTGCCCGAGCGCTCATCATCATCGCCATCCTGTTAGGGTTCTTTGGGATCCTGTTTGCTGTAGTTGGGTACAGGTGCAGTAACTGTATAATGCATCAAAGACAAAATAGCAATGTGACTATAGCTTCTGGGGTTATCGTCATCATTGCAGGTGTCTTGCTCCTAATCCCTGTAACTTGGACAGCCCACGCTGTGATTAAGTGATTAAGGATTTCTACAACCCACTCTGGTCCGCTTCTCAGAAGAGGGAGCTGGGATCATCGCTTTACATCGGCTGGGGCTCTGCAGGACTGCTGTTCCTGGGAGGAGGCCTCCTCTGCAGCTCCCGTCCTCGTATGAATGACACTGACTGTGAGGTTAGGTACTCCAACCATCGTGCTGTTTAAGTCCTACATTTAAATACAAAACTAATGAGAACAAGAAAAGTTTCATCTCCTGTTTTTCTCCTGAGTAAAACAACAAATTAGATATTTTATTTGTATGCTTTAGGAAAACTGTATTGCAGCAGAAATCACATCATACTTCCGTCAATTAGGAAAGTAACATGATTCAAATAAGCAGCAATGTTTGCAGTACAAGTGTTTAATTTTACTGAAGTTTTTACTTCTTACTTTTTACTTGCATCCAGAATATATTGAGGGAACACAGTTCAGTGTTTTGAATCTCTTTGTGTGCTTAAAGAGATTCAAATACAGCAAATTACAATACATTTTCTAAGATAATTTACACCATGATAGAGATTTAGTTCACATTTCTTTGTTGTTCATGCTGTGTAATATATATTATATAGGTTATTCTCACTGAGTTTTTTTTCTGGGCTCTTTAGGAAATTCAAAGGATGTGCATTAGAAACTGCCATGAAATCTGACTGTGTAGTCAGTGATTAAAGTCTAGAAGTCTAGGCCTCATCTTTGACTGGTCTTTCTTTTTTTGTTGAATAGTTTTCTTCTGTTTTTTGTGTCTTTCTTACAATGTATATGTAATATGAAATTAAGGTAAACATTAGAAGCATGTAAGATCATGTGTTTGCTTTTTTAATCTTAGCATAGCCACTCTTTTTTTTCAAGAGTATAATAAACAGAGTAAAAAGTAATTCGTGTTTTCAGTTTACGGAGTATTTCTTATATTTATGGGACTAGATGCGAATTAAATCGAAATCAGTTTAAAAATATATTCTGTGTTTTTATTGGTTTGTTTGTAGTACATGAATTTTAGTCTTTCTGTAATTAACTGGTTCAATATTAATGATCATGTCACAGATTTGCATTTTCTAGCTGAATAGTTTTCAGATTGTATTTGTTTTGTGTTTGTTGTAATGCATATGCAGCAAAAATTATCAAGCATTTTTACAAGCAGGTGATTTCATGCGTTGTTGTTTTTTATCATGGTGGGGGGTTTTGTCAAAAGGTGAAATAAAATGAGCGAACAAGTCTGTGTTTATAGACTTCTCCCTTTTTGAAAGACTAATGAGTTTTGTAGACTTTTTTTATTCAAGAATGAGATGAAAGATGAAAGACAACGCTACCACACTTAGCTCTTATTTCCAAGTTTTATTAGAACATACTTAGTCATTTTGTTTCGTGTTCAGCATCTATCGAACTAATACAATTTATGAAATTTCTTTTTTTTAAATTCTGTCACAAAGTTGAAGAGACTCAGCATTAAAAAATTCTACCAATTATGTCATGGTTCAGGTTTTATAGGGTTAGAATAATGGTTCAAATCTTTGGTTAAAACTACTCAATTTAAAATGGGTCCAAATGTCCAACACTTTTTACAGTTCTGGTAAATTTTATCACCCTGAATAAAGTCAAACACACAGTCATTTTTATTTCTTTTGATGTGTGATACAAAGGAGATGGAACCAAAAACCAGTGGCCCACTTAGAGCGCAAAGGCCGGGTCCTCAGGAGGATGCAGCCTCTGAATTTGGACACCCCCGCTGTTTCCGGCCGGACAGTAATAACGGTGACATTTAACTTATTTTATCCGATAAATAAACACTGTAAAATTACATTTTCTTGTATATATATATATGTATGTATTACACCCCCCACCCCCACCCCCAACAGCACTGACGCAGTCTGACCAGAAAGAGAGTACCAGTGTGTTTATTTGGTAGTTCAATGAAAGGCGTCAGTTAGTTAGGAGGGAGGAAAAGAATCAGCGTTCATGTTTGCAGTTTTGCCTTGTTATATTTAAAAAAAACACACACACAAACACCACATTTTAGGAATTATGTGTTGGTGTTTTCTTGATTGTTTTGTTTTTGTTCTAATTGAACACTAAAGCGACAGCTCCAGCAGTGGCCAACGGCTCATTTAAGTTTGAGACCCTTGGTGTAGTGGGTGATTTCAATTCCAAAACTTTTACTTTCATTATAATGATATGGGGAAGGGCTTGATTAAACACTTAACTTGCTAAAATTAGCTTTGGGCTTTTAATCATATGTTAGTTTGTAGTTATTTTAACTAACAATATTTTTAGGAATTCACATTATGTACAAATGAAATGAAATGAAAATTTAAAAAGTAGTAATAATAATAATAAGAAGAAGAATAGCAATGACACAGAATATCTGCAAGGTGAAGCCTCGCAAGTGGGGGAAAATACAGGAACCACTATGGGGCCACTTCTTTTCCAGTTTAGAATATAATTTAGTGCCAGGTCTGATTATTAGTCTATTAAAGACACACAATCATCCTTTAATGATAAATCCTCAAAACAAAAATCGAATAAAAGTAAAGCCAAAGTAAGACGTCTTATTTTCTTTGTTACTTTTTCATTACTCTTCTCTTCTAGGCATAGCTTGAAATGAAAAAGTAAAGTGAGCATCAAACCATTGCTACAAACGTTTGTGGCATTTGCTGTTTGGACTGCGGTTATCTCTAAGCTGTTCTTTATATTTCAACCTACTTTCAGTGCTTTCAGGGTTTCTACGTAACCATGAAGTGAAGACGCAGTCAACTTCTCCTTTAATTATTACAAGCAACTAAAAAACCACTTCCTGCCTGACTCCTTTCATGCAGATAAATTACTGCAGCTCTCAAGAACACACATCGGCTGGGGCCCTGCAGGACTGCTGTTCCTGGGAGGAGGCCTCCTCTGCAGCTCCCGTCCTCGTATGAATGACAATGACTGTGAGGTTAGGTACTCCAACAGCCGCCCTGTGCAAGTCCTACTTTACATGCACAACCCGCTATTGAAAACAAGAAAAAAGATTTTCACCTCCTTTGTGTGCCCCGGGTAAAACAACAAATTAGATATTTTATTTGTACGCTTAGGAAAATTGTATTGCAGCAGAAATCACATCATTTTCTGTCAATCAGGAAAGTAACACGATTCAAATAAGCTGCCATGTTTGCAGTACAAATGTTTGATCTAAGTTTTTACTTTTGCATATATATATATCTATATATATATATCTATATATATATATGTGTGTGTGTGTGTGTGTGTGTAAGAGAAACAAAAGGAAGTTTCAGACTCGGTCCAGCAGATGGCAGATATCTCTCTTAACTCAAATTGGTTGAATAAACGTTAGGTGATTACAGTCATGGAAAATGAAGATAAAGAAGAGGCGGGCATTCAGTTTTTTTTTTACAGTTAGGAGGAGGGTTTCCAAACACCTGTGTTGTACCTCAAAGTGCTTTACAGTCAGAACGGTGCCTTAATGTCAGTGTGGCGCATCGCATACTTTTTTGTTAAGAGGTGTATTTTATTTACTAGCTGTCAGCGATAAAGCCAATATCGACAATGTTCTTCTGTTGCCTACGAGGGCATTTTAGCAGACTTTTTGCGTTGGTTTTCTTCGTGCTTGCAGTTTTGGAAGCAACAGAGTTTGAGGGTCGACCCCAGAAGATGCGGGAGATTCGGGCAACCGTGGCTGATTTGGCCTGGCAGGGAAGGACCTACCTGGGCAGGCTAGTAGGGGAGCAGACCTTGCTGTTGGTGGAGAAGGTAGCTGCTATCTATCTATATCTATCTATCTCTATATATTCATTCATTCATTTATTTATTCATTCATTCATTCATTCATTTAGTATAGTTTTTCTTCAGGCTATGATTCTGTATTATTTTTTTCTCATTGTAGTTGGAATTATTTTTGTTTTTAATTCTTTATTCTGAGAATCAAGTTTTGATTTGTCTCCGTGTTTGTTTATCTTTCCCTCTTCGTGTCTGTTCCAGCGTGTTGCTTCTTCCTGTTTTATTTTGGCCGTCTTTTGTCTCTGGTGCTTTGTGCTAATAAGCAACTTCAGCAGAGTGTTCACTTGCACTTTGACATGTACTGTGTCCCTCGTGTGCTTTTCTAAGAAGAGTTATAGTTTAAAATTTTGTTGTTTTGACCTGCATTGTTACTTTACTGAGCAATACAGCTGCCTTCTAGTTTACCTTTTGCTTCTGAATGTTGCTGTTTGGGTCCAAGAATGGAAACAAAAAGGCCTTGGATTGTTTTTCAATTGATTGAGTCATTCATCCAGTTTATTTTGGATTAGTAAGGATAATAAAATTGAGGGGGAAAAAAAGTAAGGATAATAAAAGTTTATCAATGTCGACATTAAGCCCACATACTTTTTTAAACAAACAAAGGGCCATCATTCAGGTAGGGTTTTCTCACTTTGCTCTAACTCCTACTCCCTGCTCTGGCATGTTTAGCTTACCTGGAGTCATGTGACTCAGTGGCACTGAGCAGGGCCATGTTGGCTGAAGGGAGTGAAAAGTGGAGTAATGTGTAGATGTAATTTACAGTTGTAAATGGAACACTGCAAACATAATGTGTGCTGGAGAGAAAAAAATTATACTTTGCCAAAATCACCAGTTTATATAAAGATGTGAAAAGACAACATGGTTTTTAAGAAACCATGTTGTCTTTTCACATCTGTGATCAGATCAAACTGACAATTCACATGAGTAGATGCTGTTTGATACACTGAGTAAATGCAAGCAATATGAGGTATAAATGAGGTAAATCTAGGCTGTTACTTACCATGTCTCCATCTGTCCACCCCCTTCTTTTTTTCTTTTTACTTCTATTAACCCCTGTTTCCCCACCTTCCACACAGCAAATCCAGCATGTCCAAATTAACACTGTCGGATTTGATTTCAACACTATTAAAGTGTCTATATGGGTCCACACCAGAGAGTGTTAATTTAACTCTTTTTGGAGAGTTGGTACGTTAACTCTGATTTAGTGTTAAACACCAAATCTGTCTGGAGTTGATAATTTAACACTTGGTGTTAAGAGTTTATATATTAACTCTCAAAGAGTATTTTAGTTTAACTACGTAAGAGTTATCTTCCAATTCATTCTAAAAAGCGGGAATTTTACTGTTCTGAACTTCTAGAAATTTCTTTTGGAAATAAACATTTACTAAAAAGATGCAATGGTTTTTGAAAAACATTTATTCTGAACTGTGCACCACAATTTCAAAACATTTTCTGAAAGATGTAACAGTATACATGTTCTCACTTTCATTAGAATTTTGTTTATCAAAAGGTCTGACATGGTAAATGCAAATAACAGCATTCTCATCACTTATTTCTTCAATACAATATGCATGTCCTTCATTCATCCCTTTGTGGAACTTCAACGCACTTCTGCTCTCCCCCATATTCCATCTTCACAAGCATATCCTGTGCGGAGATTGAATAAAAATTAGTTGACACTAATTAATGGCACAAATAATCCAGTAAACAATTGCAGCACAGTAAAAAGAAAAAGGAATCCTCTTTGAGCCATTACTTGTGTAAAGTATTTTCCCAAAAGACAAGGACACGGGCAACAGGTAATACTGAACTAAATGTAAAACCTCAACCTTTTTTATTTTTACCTAAACCGTGTGCACAAAACTCTGGAGCGATCTATAACGTAGAACCCAGTCAGGACGTCAGCTACTGCTGTTTGCTCGTTTTTTTATGGGCGATCGTTTTCAGGCTTCAAGCAGCACCATTATACCAACATTTCACATTCTAGACATTGTTTTAGGTGTATTTGACCAAACATTTGACTGAAAATTCACATGCAAGCTTTTTTTCAAGGCTGTGGTATTTGCCCGCAAACAATACCTTTCAGCTAGCTAAAACAGAATATTATGCTATCAGCGAGCAACATGGCTAATGCCTTTCACACAGCTTTGTCTCAACTCCAAAGAGCCACAGAAGTAAAAGCTCATAATAATAATTGAAACAATCTTTGAAAAAATGACTTACCAAGCATGGCAAACAACTCAAATATGTAGAGCAAAATGTTCTGAAACGGCTTCACTTCAGCTTCAATTGGAGCCGTGCTGGGGGCGGAGTCTGTGAATTTACTCTATTGGTGTCATAGCCCCTCTAGGAGTTCAGAGTTAAGAGGTCAAGAGTTAATGTTTCCATTGTAACACCTCCAGATTTGACAGAGAAACACTCATTTTTAACACTCGATTTTAACTACTATCATTTTACACCTCAGAGTTACATTAAAAGAATGTGACTCTACGTAGAGTAAAATTAACTCTACTTTTGCAAGAAGACTATTAACACCAAAACATTTAACACTTTTGAATTTGCTGTGCAGGATTTCCTTCAGGTTATAGGTGTGGTTGCTGAAAGTGTGGCTAATCATCTAAATGCAGTACTACAGTACATCTTACAATTCCTGAAGGCTAATGAAATTCAAGGTAAGGATGTTTTTTTCTGATGGGCCAGTGACTAGAAAACTACAATGAAGTTTTAATTTTAGATATGCTCAAAAAGTGGCATTGCCCTTCACCTACCATTTACACTCACCAGGCTCTGGGGAGCAGATGCTTAGATAGCACCAAGAAAGCATAGGCTGTATGTAAAGATGGAAGACTTGTTCCTTCTGCACAAAAGGGTAATTTAGACATTTCAGAAATAGCACTGCTATTGTGACTGGCAGAGGAAGGACTGTGTCCCCACAGCCTTTAACATTCATTTAGGCCTGTTGCTGCAGTACTGAATTTTCTTTGCTGTTTTGGAGCCTTACTTTTTTATAAAAAGAAAAGATTCAAGATTCAAACCCAGTATCCCAATGCACAGCAAATTGACTGAGCCCAGATTGTTGGGTTAGGCTCAAATCTACAAACAACATTCTCACTTGGATGTTTTTTCTGGTCTAGTTTTGTAAGAGCTGATGGAGAGCTGTGATGACTGCATCCTCTGTATGCTCGATATTCAAACTGGTGCGGGTGAACGTTAGCAGGGGGTGAGGATGTAAGAATGAGTCTCAAAACAAATCATAAGCAAACAACAAAAAAAGTAATATTAAATGTAGAAACTGATCTATAGTAAGATGTTCTGTTCAATGTAAAACTAAAGAAAAATCTTGGTGTTTCACTCCACCTGCTGATCGGACCTACCAGACTCGCATTCAGATGATTATTCCCAATAAATAATTGATTCAATTCAAATCATAGTGCGATGTGCTTTATAGGAAAGCTATTAATAAACACACAATAAAGGATTATTATATTAAATGTCATTGCTTGTGTTTGTTGTCCACAGTTGATCTCCCCATCAGCAAAGTCACCCCAGAAGGACTGATCTTTATTGCACAGTGGCTTCTCAAGGTTATTTTTTGGTACTGCTTAATTTCTCATGCCTTCCAGTTGATTGGTTGGTTGCTCGTACGGCTGCTGAGACTCATGCTAAAGCTGCTGAGAGTCATGGTGACTTGCTTGCTTCCAGGCTGGTCGGGAAAATTGTTGGCCTGGAGGAGCAAGTTTAAATCCTGGCCAAAGTTGAAGGGGGAAATCAAATTGAAAAAAAAAGAAGAGCAGCCAAAAAAATTGATTGAAAGATTGAAATCCCCCAGCTTATCTTTACCCAAAAAGTGAATAGAAGGACGCAACATTCAGCCTTTGTAACGGAAAAGTGTTAAAACTGAGTTTATTTACTTGTGTTTTTGCTAATAGTTAATCATGCTTAATTCTAATCATAGTATAATCAAGAATAAATCTAATCAATATGAGGAGTAAGATTATGTTGTTTGAGTAATGAAATAATTTTGATGCCTTGCTTTTTCACCTAGATTGTGGGAGCATTGTTATGACTATAGTGCATCCTTGGCTCTTTCTTTGTGAGTGAGTGTGTAAGATTGTCAAAGACACAGTCATAACACAGTCATAAAGAGAAAAAGTATGTTTATATGTGATTGAGCTATTGAGAAATCATGTTGAAGTAAAACAGCATATAAACTGAATGAGACATGATGAAGAACATATTCATTCTTGTCATATAAATGTACAACGAAATACAGTATATGTATGAGAAAATGTAACCATTTTAATGAATGATTGAACTTTTCTTTAGTTAATCTGTCTGAAAGGTTATAGAGAGAACAAAGGGGTGTGGCTTATCTTTGGGACAATGTGAATGTCATGTGGGCTGATGGCGGGGTTAAAGAGGGGAAACTCCAGCTAAAGTTGCTTAATTAAAAAAAAGCTTATCTGCAATTAAAGTTAATTTTATGAATGTTCCTTCTTTTGGGTTCTTTTCTTAAAAGTAAAGGTAAAACTTGTGAATGAGTACTAACATATTTTCAGGGTTCTGGGGCCTATTTTCCAGGCCACAAAAGTAAAACCTGGCAAACCATAGATCATTCGGGGGGGAGCGAATGTTAATGGATGTGGCTGCTGATTAAATCGTACTGACAGTTGCTAGTGTTGTTGCATCATCTAGCAGACAGGGGGGTATTTAGGCAATCTAACATTTACAGTTTCACGGTTTGCCAGGGCAAGCCGTGTGGGGTGTGAAAATCAGGACCCAAGATGCAGGCACTGACATTGATGGGATGAGTGAGCTTTTAATTATGAGTGAAGAAACTACTGACAAAAGTGGAGATGGCGAGGAAAGGAACTAAGAAATAACCTAAACTGGAAAAACCTAACAAATGAAACTGAAGCCAAAACTCACGGGATGACATGCAGAGGAACACAGGAAGGAACGCAGAGGAAACAGGGAGACTCGCGGAGACAATACAGATGAACCAACAACAAGCAGAAGGAAACAACACACACTAACATAAGACACGGACCTTCACAATAAAACAGGAAACTGAACACACATGCAAAGAGACAGACTCAGAGACATGGACTCTGTACAGAGACCTGACTACACTGGAACAGAAGGAACACACAGGCAGGGTAGACTAGGCACAGAACAGAGGGAGCACAGAGTAACATGAGGGGGCAAAGGGACCAAAACCTAGGACCTAGAAATTCAAAACCAACACACCGACAGCAATAATGTGGCAAATAAATAATAAACTATATAT